CGCTTTTTACTTTCTTCTTTCAAATTTCATGTAGCCTTTTCAGCCCTGGGGCTATGTCATCCTATCTACTAACTAGTACATTGGATTCTGATACTGCCTGGGCTTTCAGGACACTGCAGAACAAATCACTATCATGATCAGTATCTGGGGAGCTGTGACATTGCTAGATGTGAGCTTGGCTCAGTGACTCCATTAGCAGCATCAATACACATCCAATGGCCATGTGAGCAGATATGTGATGTAGCAGCAGCCATTTCAGAAGAATCATTGACTGACTTAGCACACAGACACAGAACTGACAATTAAATGAACTAACAGCTTCAGTTTACTTGCCATGATCAATTCAAGCTACAGTGCAGTCATGCAGGGAAGAGTTAGGAGCAGCATGTCCAAGCCTGAACCACAGCTCCTATTTTGTCACACATAGTCTCCCAATAGAGAGTTTTTCTGTCAAGGGCAAATAAGACATCTTAAAAATCATTTTTCACAGTTAATCTTAAAGGTGCTCTTTCAGACACAAGGAAAAAGATTTTGGCCAAGAAAACTATGGAACAATTAAGTAGAGCAGCTGCTGAGTGGGCTGTAGATCTTGTTTGCTGTGAGCAGACAAACCTCCCGCATCTAGAATGGAGTCTACTGAGTATTTACATATAACCCATACCTGGGTCTGATTCTTGCATAATGGGTATTTAAATCTGTGCAAAAACTGTGAAACGTAGTCACTCTGAGCAGACTTTTACAGCCACTTTGCAGCCCTCAGAGCAGGACAGTAGAGAGCTGGTCCCCAAAGCCAGCACAGCAGCTCTGTGCCATTACATGCAGTAAAACCTGCATTGACGGTATGTTTTTCCATGCTCCTCCTCATCAACTTTTTTCTTCATCCTGGATACAGGAATGGTTTATTTACTTTTCATATCCCTATCCTGTCTGAAAAAAGGTACAGCACTCTTTAAAACTGATAAAACACCAAGTCACACTGAAGTGGTTTTGTGAAACTCATCCAAGTTCTTCAGTACAATTGACGTGGTTTCCTTTTAACATAGATGTGGCAGAGTTGAATAGACTCCCTGGAGACTCCAGAGTTATTTTCAGTAGCGACAAGAGCCCATCCCAAACATAACTTTCAATCTGTTCATCCCTCCTTGAATACTAAGTAGAGCCTTTTCCTCTTATAATGTACTGAAACCAACTCACTGTATAACAAAAACACCTCCTGCACTCTAATACCACCTGAATTACCTTCTAAGATATGTGTCCTAATGCCACAATTGCTCCAATTGTTAGATATAGATCAGGACAAAAAGGATCATGCACTTCCTTTTATCCAACCCTACCAGCATGGGAAGTTCCACTGGGAGATACACACTTGTGTCAGGGATAGCATATAACATCCTGAAATTTAAAAGAGGGACTAATGAAGAGAGGATGCACCCAGAGAAAAACAGAGATTTAATGCAAGCCAAAAAGTGTTGGGATTCCTAAAAAAGCCCATTTAACTTTTAAAATAAAGTGCCAACTTAGTAGTTCTATGTAGCAGCATCAGTCAAAAGCAGCAGAGAGAATTTTCACTTTTTTTTTTTTTTTTTTGGCCAGTGAATCGTATTTTTACAGGCAAGAAAGATAATTCTCCACCACTGGTCTTTTAACTCATTTGTATAGATATAGGATCTCTGCAAATGCAATGCAAACTCAGTTTTGGCAAAGCCATGGTTATTATGGAAGTAGTAACTTGGATTTTTCCCAGTACCTGGCTGCACATAATCTCACTAAATTCTCACACTAGAAGTTTGGAGACAGTTTTCAAGGTGTTCATATTATTTCTTACTGGAATGCAAGATTATTCTAAAGAAAATAAAACAATTGGGACACATTGCTTGATTGTGATCACTGATTCAAACAAATGCATCATTTACAGAACACATTCCTCTCACATTGCACATGCACTGAGTTTATATAAGAGTGTGCCCCCTCTTTCCAACAATTTGCATGCAAAATATGAAAAATTTCTCTCCTAGTGGGGAAAAAATCCCACCCACATACATGCTAGACACCTTTTAATGTCTTTTCAAAAGGAGATGGGTCTCAGGGTAAAATGCAAGACATGAAAGGCCCAAAGACTGCATACAATTCTCTCGTGAAACAAGAGACATGATGCTCTGTCAGCACAGCCAGCCTTTAAGCATTACTATACATCTGCAGTCCAACCCGTCTTCAGTCCCGCAGCACAGCTGCAGTCCCAGGGGGTGGTTTCCCCCAAGCCCATAACGCCAGACTGGTGACTGGCTCTGACATCTCTGGCACCAGCCCTTCCACAATGCCGCGCATCTCAGCCCCTCTTCCGAGCGCACGTACCCGAGGGCCGGTGCCAGGGGCTGCCCAGCCACAGTACCCAGCACAGAGACACCGTGACAGCAGGGCATACCTACAGTGTAAAAGGGGATCTGAAGAATAACTTACCCTGACAGACAACAGAGCCAGTTAAAAACAGTGACACAATGTATGCACAGCTATACAGAAATCTATGACAAAGGAAGAGAAGTGCAATGCTATCCTGCTATTTCTGCACAGGAGAGAATTTCTACTGAATTTACTGGGCATTGTATCAGTCAAAAAGTAGCAAAGACATAGCATTTTGTTGTCTTAAGAGATTTCTCAGTTGCATGACACATGCATTCAAAAGATAACAACTTCAGTTTCCTATTACTATGAATATATTAAGCTATGTTTAACAACAAGGACAGCATCATAGATATTCCTGAAACCATTTTGTTTATCTTCTGGCATTGAATGTGATATGACTAGAAACACTTCAAAATTTGTTAAAATAATTTGTAAGCCAAATATCATCATGGAAGCTCATGCAAGTGCTCATGCCTATGTACTGGAAAAATAATATCACATTATATTTGGCATGATATTTGGGTGGTAATAAAACATTGTAGAACAGGTTTGTAAGAACAATTTAGAGTGGTTCCGAATGGTTGTATTATTAAATTCACCATATTGCTTAAGACAGAAAGTATACAGTCTATTTTTATCTTTAAATTATTATTTATATGGACTTAGATGTCCACTGTTAAGTAATGCCATATAACCATTGACCCAAAATAGCAACTGATCAGCTGAACAACACAGAAAGATTTAGCATATGTATACAACACAGCAGCCTTTTTGCAGTTTGTGTACTATATAAGTACTATGTGAGTACTACATAACACCACCAAGTGCTGTTCAGAAAAATGTGTCTCCAAAGGAAATTGATTAGAATTACTTTAGTGGTCCCACAGTAGGATTGAAACCTAATGCCAAATTTTGCCAGGAAACAAGTCCTGATCTCTTCCTATTCCCATTGCTCACTGGAAGCATATAGAAGGTGCAGAGGGATGGACACTTTATCTTGCATACATTATTGACTTCTCAGTTCACAGTTTACCATCAGTTTGACTTCAATAGGAGTAGTATCTAAAAAGAAGACAAGACTTGGTGTGTGATCAGCTCAAAAGACAGTTAATTTTCTGACTACTAAACATTATGTAGAATATTAAGAACCTACTTTTGCAAAAACTAACTGGTACAGGCTTTGTTGCAAACTGCTGAAAGGTATATATTACCAGTGTTTAAACTACCGACCATTTAGTGTGCACCCTACCTCCTATAGTCTTCACATGTCCTCCCTGGAGAGGCGGTCTCAATGCAATGGTCCTTCCTGCACACTCAGAAGCTACACCAGAGGAATAGAACTATTAATTTTTGTAATGTGCCACACAACCCACTGCTGACACCGAAAGCAACATTCCCAAAACAAGTTTGGGTAATAGATTTTGTTCAACGCCTTTAAGCCTTTGATTGACAAGATGTCAGCAGCCCTGATCAAGCAGTCATAGAATCACAGAGTCATAAAATAGTTGAGGTTGGAGGGGACCTCTGGAGGTTGTCTGATCCAACCAACCTGCTCAGGCAGGGCTACCTGAAACAGGTTGCCCAGGACTATCTCCAGATGACTTTTGAACATCTCCAAGGATGGAGACTTCAGGGCAACTTGTGCCAGAGTTTGACCATCATCACCATGAAAAAATGTTCCCTAATGTTCAGATGGCACCTCCTCTGCTCCAGTTTGTCCCTGTTTGAGTTCACAGCCTGACAGAAAGATGACAAGGAACAACCAGCTGGGGTACTGGGCAGAGGGGCAAGACAAGCCGGCATTGCCATAGGAGAAGACAGAAAGTACTCCAAACCCTTCTATTCACAGTTATAGGCTCCATACACACAGGGACCAATTTTTCACTCCTTTAGTAGTCCTGTTGTGAGGTTTGTTATACAGCTTCTGTGGCAAGATCAACTTGCATCCTTCATGCTCTCCTATCCCTATCAGAAGATCAGCCTCAATCTCTGTAGTGGTGGCCACACTTAAATTACCGTGAAACTTCTGTAAACAGTCATCTAGAAAGGGCCATAAAGCCTAATTTTATTCATTACAGAGTCTTGGAGGCAGGAGTTTGAATCTCTCTTCTGGTTTTTTGTTTGGTTTTTTTTTTTTTTTTCTCTGGTAAAATATCAGTTTAATGTTTTTGGAAAGGATTTGCCTTTTTTTTTCTTTTTTTTTTTTTTTTTTGTGGGCATATCATCAAAGCCTATTAGTGTAATACTTGCTATCATTCATTTACTGGAGAAAACTCGTTAAACACATGTCACTTCAAAACTGCGTGACATAACATGAAATTGAAATGACCTTTATTTTGGCACACTACTGCACTGTGTTAGAGTATTACTAAGTCCCAAGTGTTGCCTGTTTACAAATGCCAGTCAGGCTACTACTATGGCTTTAATGTGCTCAGAGACTGTGCAGCCTATGAGCAACTGTAACTAACTGCAAAGAGTGAAGTAGGTGTGGGGGAAGATCCACAGCTTACCAGGGGGAAAAGCCACCACTTTGAGACAATAGCTTAATTTATGTTGGAAATTCGGCCAAATAGAAGTGGAAACTTTGACCAATTACTCACTTTTGTCAGATGCTATTTCAGTAGTTGGCCTCCTGTCTTGCAATCCATGAACTTGCATCTTGGGTCTAGGTTACGTCTTCCCGTCCATATGGTTCTCACACCAAGTCTGTAAGAGTGACAGCTGAATGAGTCACAGTCATGCTTAACTTCAAGCACAAAGGTGTCTAATTTTTAGTCTTCAAAATACACATGACTGCATCATAAAAAGCCACGGGCTACAACACAGATCTTCAAAGCACTGCCACAGAGAGCACAGATGTGTACATCAACCCTCTTGCACCCACCAACCCACTTTCAGAACTCAGGATAGTCAAACAAGAGTCAGATTACCACTCATTTCCTGAGGTTGCTCAACAGCTTTGGATGGCATCAGATGGATGCTGTGGATCACTAAGTTTCTGTCCCCCGGACCTTTTAACACACATTCAGCCGTCCCCCTCTCTCATCAGGGGACTCCTCCTGAAGAGGTGCCGAGTTCCAAGACAAAGACATGACTGATTCTTATATCTGTTCCAACAAGGGGCTCCACGGCTATCGCAAATGCAGCATTTCACTGTGTCCAACTGAGGTCCTTCTCCTGAGGCCTAACAACACAAAAGACATTTTGTAATAGCTCTCTTTGAAATCAAATTAGTAATGTTTCAAGGCGTGACCCGTAAAGGGCTGCTGTCCAGAATCTACATGTGTTTGACAGATACATCTTCCACCTAACGGGCCTCTTCAAGAGTACAGATGGAATCAAGATGTGTGAACAGAGCTCCAAAAAGAGAGCCATGGGATATCAGGATACAAAGCAAAGCACTCTATCTCAACAGATAAAAAGGAAACAATATCAGATACACTGTGAAATAGCTCATTCCAGCTGGTAGGATAGATTCTGATACTATTATGTAGGTGAGATTATTGCAGAGGAATACAGTATTCCATATGTGCAAAAGCTAGCAAAATATAGCCCAAGGTAAACTATGTAACCTTGTGCCAACTCCCCATAAAGGTCATACAAAGTCACAATCTCCTTTTCACATATGTCCATACACTGCAAAATCCTAAAAGTTACTGTGGGCTGTAGCCCTGTATACCCAGGTATGCTGATGGGCTGGAGACTAGAGTCTTTAGAAAACAGCTTATTTTTACTTAGCTAGCTAGACATTTTTTAACTGAAGGACTAAGCCTGATAACTTATGCAGTGTGTGTTTGGTTTCAAAGATCAGGGGACAGTATTCTGGAGATAAGCACTAGTGTACCTGATGGCACAGAAACTGTGGGTCTTGCGAGAAAAACAAAATTAATGAAAAGTTGGAAAAGAAGATGAGTTTTCAAGTTTGCCATAATGTATTTGCTTATCTGTCAGAAAACTAACCACCCTACTGTCCTGCAGAGTGAATCGCTCTGGAGTGGGAGTATGAAGAGGAGAACCCCTTCCCATAGTGTGTGAATATGTGACAGCATTTGGTGGTTGGCCTTTCCAAATATGCAAAAGTCCCATTTGACTGTGTAGAGCATTAATTTAAAGCAGGGCAACTTCCTAATGCAAGCCAGGCCTCAGTCCCATAATTCATTTTCACATGAATTCACAGACAAGAAAAAAAATCACACTAGTCTATCAAAAACCCCTATAGCAGCCAAATAAAATGAAACACCTGCTGGCAGGAACCCCACCAGCTACTACTTCTTACCAGTGTCTCCCATCTGAAAAGGGGACACAACTAGAGATGAACTATGTGTATTTTACAAGATGAAACAGTCCAAGGCAAGAACCTAAAAACAGATAGGCTGTGCAATCTACACTATGTGTCAGGACCAGTCACTTCTGAGAAGTAACCAGATACTTCAGGCTAGGACAAGGAGTCAAGGCTAAAACACCAGAGAGAAATGCCAGTGATTGACAATGGCAATCACTGATGGTGTAACTCATATCACGCTCCCAGTGGCTCATTTCTTCCATGACCTTCAAGTTCTGTCTGCTAGCAACAGGAACAGCAAACGTTTCAAGCTATGGAACAAACTTCTGCTTTCTCATAAAAAGGACAGAGGAGCATACAGTACTCTTACACAGTTCTGAAAGAAAGTTATAGCCAAGATATGGCCCAAGTTTTTACATATCAATATTTTCAGTTGCATTTGCTTACTTAAAAATGCCATAAATCACTAACACTCACAATTTTCACATTATTCTCCAGGAAGTTACTTTAGTGACAAAGGACCTGTCACAGTGATTACAGAACAATATGCCAGTGTCATCCTGATAAACCTAACATCCCTGTGAGACGTGCGCAATATGAGATTCAAATCCTGATAAGAAGGACTAATCTAAATGAGGTGGGAATTCAGCTCACTCTCCATGTTCAAGCAGATCTCCCTCCTTGAACTGCAAATGTGGTCAGTTGTTGCATTGACTTTGGTCATTAACAGCTGTCCCTCAGCACAGGCGTGAGAAAACCAAATCATTACCACTAGAATTTGATAGCAAATGACTTTGCACACAAATCATAGTGTGGTTGCATCTCTCCCTCTTGGATTATAAACCTAGTTAAACTTTTGATTAAGGAGTTAGTAAATGAATGGCAACCTGATCATTCTCATCAGTGTATCTGTATCAGTAGCACAGTAATACCCTCCTATTATATCTGAAGCAGTAACTAGTGTTCTTCATGTGACTTGTAAATAAGGTTGGCCCTGGAAACTGTGCTGTTGGAGTAGTGGGTAAAAGGAAGGTGGTTTTTTTTTTAAAAAAAAAAAAAAAAAAAGAAGCCCTAAGGCAATGACCAGTCTGTCTTACAGACTGTCACTCAGGTTAGGGAACATGAGCTGATGCTTACACAAGGAGTTCCCTCTGAGAGTGGTACCTCTTTCTTTTCCATCTATCATGACATATTTACAGCTTGGTCTCTCAGCAGTCCCTACTGAGACTCCAGGATCCACAACTGGCCCGTCATGAATGTTATTTTTCTTGTGCTACTACTGTTTAGAGCCAACAGAAGATACTCAGCAAGGAATCAAGAGTCTGTGTTAATGTGATCTCTGTCATCCCCATATATCCTGGATTAGGTTAAACATATTCTTTCTCCCATTCCCTGTTTCAGCACTGCTTTCAAATGTATCAGGTATATAAAGCAAGCTTGCATTAACTACATCTGTACTAGAAAATTGAACAAGCCAGGGACTGTTCGGGATTACAGCTGCTGGTTGCAGATAGCACCTATTCCTACTATTTAACCCTCTTAGCTTCCAAAACAAGATGGTCAGGTACCTGTTCAGAACGGGTCTGCCTGCAAATTATTTAGGAGGATGTTAGTTGGCCCAAGTCTAAAGCCCACCAGGGAATCTTCTAACACTTTAAGTGTAGACAGTGCAGTGCTTGAGGATGTTTCCTCACAGTTTTTTTAATAGTATAGACATTGCTGTAGAGAACAGAAAAAGAAACTCGGTCATACAGAATCCAATGTCTAGTGCTTTGGGTTTACAATTGTTTTCTTTTGTTTTCGTTTGAACTCCTGGTCAAAACCACCTTACAACCCACCAATATCATATCCTACTGGTTTACAAAACAATTCAATACTCCTATGAACACTTTGATTAGTTGTAAATGTATTATCAAACCTAACTCATTATATTAGACACAGGAAACACTATAGGTACGTAAATTATACAATAACTCCCATAAATGATACAAACCATTCAGACCAGAAGAGGTCTGTCTTTCAGACCTCCATGGAAAAAGAGAAGACACTGAGTCTCTCCTGAAGGGGTACCCAAACTGTATTATTCAGCAGATCTAAAACATAAACTGAGTCATATTAGAGAGCAAGCAAGCATTTACAGGTCTCCACTCTAGGACAGAATTCCCCATCTATTGCCTGAGTATGACAGGTCCCACACTAAGGTCACTGGTTATTGGGTTATTCAAGCATTCACTGTTGATATAGCGTCGATCTGTTCCTGCCCAGTTACACAGCTAGGCCACATCACCCCTCAGTTTCACTGTCCTTTCTCAAACAGATATGCAGACACAAGGACAGTGGTTTCAAATCCTTACAGAGTGGAAAATATTTCTGCTCAGAGACAAAAATCCCTATCTCTCCCTGGTATCATTACTCAGTAGTAATAACTCCAAGGTGCTGAGACCACATTTAGCTTTACGGAATAAAACATAACAAGCTGTCAAAATGTGCATAAATAAATTAGAGTCATTATTCCAGCTTAAGGTTCTGGGGACATAAACAATCCTCTTGAAGTTCGCTGTGACATATTTTGCAGTGGGAGCCAAGCATTAAAATTACGTCCTCTATACAGAGAGCTGTAAATGCATTCTGTCTTAGGGCCTGGCACCGCGGTGCAGAAATCAACAGGCCTGCCTTGGAATAGAAAATAAAGTAGTCCAGCGCCAATTCCCTGCCCCTGAGCACAAGTTTTATGGCACAGCCCACGTCCATATGGCTAAACTCTGTCCTTCTGCTCGGTCCCCAAAGAGGAGTCCTCATCCGTATCTGCCTGCTTGGAATAGTCCCTGGCTCACACTGCTGCCCTAACCCGTATCCAGACACCACTGCAGAGAGTGCTGGCTGGCCCAGGCAAAACCATTCAGTGGAGCATGCTGACACTTAAACACCACAGGTCACTGCATGCTACTGCTCCTGGCCCTGTCCAGGTAACGAACACAGATCCATGGGACTTCTGCTAGTGTATTACCCTAAAACACGTTTATCTTTCCGTAAGTGACTTCCAGTTGCATAAGAAGATATGCAGTGAGATCTAAAAAAGGCACGAGGAACGAAGACATACATATATTTTGTGTACACAGGGACATAAAGGAGCTGTACCAGGGGAGACCAGGCTCCATTGTGCCTTCAACACTAAGCAGTGGCACAGACTTAGGAAAAAGTATGAGATCAGGGTAAGCGTGCAGTGATACTTCCTCGGTACACTCTTCTGCATCACTTTGTGACTCAGAGACTTCCTGAACTAGAAGTGGCACCTCAGTATTTAATAACCTTTTGAGGATTCATCTGAAATAAAATGAACTCTGGATTTAAAAGCTGCATAATTAAAAAGGCAGTGAAAATATGCTTTAGCAATTTGAATTATAAACAAGGAGCAAACCTATTCATTCAGAATATGCATTTTACATCAAAAGAACATCAAAACAAGGATGAACAAGAATAGTGTCATTACAAGACAGCATCAAGCTGAAAGCTACAATCTCTAAGAGCAAAATGGCACTGACATCCTCACAGAAGGCTTTTGCTTGGGCTCAGTGCACACAAAACAAAACCAAAACAAATTTCATAGCGTATTCAAGGCAGAACCTGCTGTGACAGAAATCAAAACAAATGGCTAATAACTCAGCGGCAAAATGTAGGATCCTTCCTATTTTGCAACCAGCAAGTTTTATAGCAAAGTTTTTTCCTGATGCTTTTTGGTATGGCCCTTT